TTTTATATGCATATATCCAGAGAACTGGTAATTATCATCAGAGTATCTCTAAGTGTTCAAATATCTGAAGATCTCTAAAATAATTTATTATATTTAAAACATAAGTAACCTACCAAGTAAATTCCATATAACAGAAAGATCCTTCTGTGGGATAAATTACTGACTTAAAAGGAGGTGGCCTGATTTACACTGTCTCTAAAATTGGCTCACCTGGTGGATAAACCTTAGTACACAGATTTATGATGAAAGGAATGTGTTTTTGAAAGGAATTAAATTTATGTGAATGTGTAATTGGCAATGGTTCAGATTTGTCAAAAAAACAAAATCAAATTAACTCAAAGCTAGGCACCGCTCTCTCCCTCTGGATTGGATCCCTTGCAACTTTTGCCTTCAAAGGTTTGGCTCTGAAATTTTATTTTTCGTCTCTGAGGGGTGTGATGGGAATGTCTATTATGCAGTTGGCTTCTTTGCAGATCACACTCATCTCTCAAGGGCAACAAGGAAATTATACTTCAGGGTTTATTTTTAATTAAATGCTGTAGTTGAATATTGGGTTTTACAAAGGTGCTGAACAAAGACCAATGTTTTCTGTTGTAGCTTCACCTTAATTTTAAAACAGATTGATTAAAATACATTTTTTACTGTTTAAAATGATTACAGAAATAGTTTAGTCCAATAAACTTAAACTGATGCAAGTCTTTTGCATTCACAAAATGTAATAGGTATACCATGGGTGCTGTTTTGTTTATGATTTCATTTTTACTTCTCATCAGACACACAATTAATAACTGACAAAATACATCCAATAGAACAGGTCCTAGGCATCAGAAGGAGAGAAAGCTTTCTCTGGGGCATTCTAAGAATGACTGAGGGTTCTTGTTTTGTTCAGTTTTTTCAAGTGCCAATTCAATTAAAGGAAAAAAAAAAAAAGAAGCTATTGAGAGACTAGGTTAAAGGAGGAAACTCTTTCTGAGGGTTCTCTTAGATAGAGAAGGGCTGATGATCACTCACAGAATAGAATTTCTCCCATCACCCTTGTGGAAATCTTGTTAGATTACTACCACCTTGTGTGCTTGGGCTGAAAAAAACCAAACAGTTATTCTAAAAGATGCTGTTCTGTGATAAATTCACAGAGAAATGACTGGTAAAAAAAAAAAAAAATGTTGTGGATTATCGTAATGGCTTCTTTATTAAAGGGTTTTGAGATTTAGTGACAAATTACTGACTTGCCAAGATGACTGCTCCATAAAACCAGTTCATAACGGATTCTTTTCCAGTTGCCAATAAAGTAGGTTGTAATGGGTGTGGGTACCACAACCATGCAGCATCCCTGTAGAAATGGACTTGCAAACTGATGATGCCCTAATATTCATTGTTCACAATAGTCTTAACTTTTAGAATTTTTGAACTACAGGGGAAACTTCTCCTTCTTTCATATCCTCTTTCTCCTGCAAAGTACTCCATGAATTGAAAGCTGTTTTAAGTATCTTTGGTGCTTTTTCTATTCAAGGTCATAGTCTCTTCTCATTTTACTTACACACTGCACGAAACTGCAATTAAATAATCTTGCTTTTTGTTCCTGTTGAAATGCATGAGATCTATTAACCTCAAAATGGTAATTATTGCCCAACCTCATATGAATAAATTAGGACAAATTACTTTTAGTACAATAAGAAGAAGTCAAAACTTCTCACAGGTCTGAAACCAGACTTGTAAACTTTGTGTAGGTGACCGTGCATTGTGTATATTTGTCAGAAGTAAAAAGACAAAAGTACCGTGTCTTTTCATAGTAACTCTAACCTCACTAATTAATTAATGATATTAATGTGGGCTCTTAATCCCATAACTCTCTATGATGCTTCTAATATTGCTGGGTCAAATGCATATCAATACATATCCATTTTGCAATTTTAAAAGAAAAGAAGCTAGCATAACAGTTCAGTGGCAAGCGTACTTGAAACTAACAGCCTACCTATTTCCTTATCATAAAAGTGTATGTGAACCCTGATTCAACCTCGTATCACAAGCAAAAGGTTTTAGCATTGCTTGTCTATGCCAAAAGGCATCACAGGACTACAAGTATTTATGATAAATCTCTACAGACATGACACCTCAAAAGATCATAACAGTTACTTAGAGTAGAGTAGAGTAGACTAGAATATTTCAGTTGGAAGGGACCAGCAATGATCATCTAGTCCAACTGCCTGACCAATTCAGGGCTGACCAAAAGTTAAAGCATGTTATTAAGGGCATTGTCCAAATGCCTCTTAAACACTGGCAGGCTTGGGACATCAAACACCTCTTTAGGAAGTCTGTTCCAGTGTTTGACCACCCTCTTGGTAAAGAAATGTTTCCTGATGTCCAGTCTAAACCTCCCCTGGCACAGCTTTGAACCATTCCCATGTGTCATATCACTGTATACCAGGGAGAAGAGCTCAGCACCTTCCTCTCCACTTCCCCTCCACAGGAAGCTGTAGAGAGCAATGACATCGCCCTTCAGCCTCCTTTTCTCCAGACTAGACAAACCCAAAGTCCTTAGCCACTCTTCATAGAACATTCCTTCCAGAATTAGATTTCTATGGCATACATCCCAGGAATATGATGGGCTTTTCAGTCTTGATGCCTGAACTAGTACCATGATATCCTCTGGCCTCTGCCTGAACTGAGTGTCTGGAGTTGAGCTATAGAGTAAGACAATATGTGTGTGGGTAGATGCACATGTGTGTAGATAGATATGTTTATGGAAGAGTTCTTAAAGCTCTCATAAGAAACAACTTGTTATTTCTGAATACAATGTTTAAAATTATTTGTTAAATTTGTCCTTGTTAATTAGCTGTTTTAACATCACACTAGTTCTCTTAATGACTTGTTGCCTTTAGGGTGTATTTTTTGAAATATCATTCCCCCTTTCTCTCCTACAACCTTCTCAGCCAGCCTGTATTGTCCACGGTGTGCAATGGTGTTGACAGAAAAACCTTCAATGAATCATGGGATCTTGGGAAGGGATTACAGCACAAGAGAAGACCACAGAGTCCAGTCCGTAAATTTATTGGAATAATCCCTCAGATTCCACGGAAAGAAGCAAAATGCTCCAGAATTCAAAAGAACAGTGCCAATTTGAACCAATTAAGATTCTGGCTCTTTATTTGTGATGAGGGGATAAATTGATGATTTAGTTTTGATGTACAGGTGCCTACAGGTAGAAAATAATTTTTTAAGAGGCTGATAGGAAAGTTTTCAAGAGATTGAGCTATACATGGATCAAAACTCTTTTCCTTTCCACTGGTGGTTTGAAAAATTATCTATGCTAATGACTTTTGACATAGTAGTTATGTTGGGAGAGGAAAAAGAAATTGTTAATGTCCCAATTAGAATTCCAGAAACAAAAATGTGCAATTAGGTTTTTGTCACAGCACAAGAAATGTTCAATCACGCTTAAGCAGTCCAACCTGGATGCATGTTTTTTATTCGGCAACAACATGAGCAAAGCTATACCATTTTTCAACGAAGTCTAAGTCCTCCAGTGGAATGGAAGTGCACACATTTGTTGTTTTGTAATGTTTCTTAGCACAGTTTTTCATTATGGATTTATGCGCTGATGTGGAAAAATCAAGCAGACTTCTTGATTCATGTTAACATTTACAGCACTTAATGGAGGGATAAAATAGATAATTAAATATCGCAATGAATTAGTAGACATGGCAAGAAGGATTTGGGATGTGGTTTGTTTCTTAACCATGTCTTTCTGCTCACCTCCTTCAGGCTTGACTGGTCCATCAGACATCACTTTCCTGAGGGCTAGTTGGCTTTGGTCTTTGTTGTCATTGGCTGGTGAAGGCAGATTGTCAGACTGAGTTCTTTGAATAGGGAGGACTCCTGCTATGCTGTGTCTGTGCTGCTTCCTGGCATGATTAGACTGACCGCTTTTATGTGCTGCTGTGGCAGTGTGGGTGAAATGGAAACCCAGAGTATGTATCCTCAGATGGAACCAGCTTAAATGTTATTCATGCAAACAGAAGTGGTTTTTTCTGTATTTAAATAAGTAGTGTTTTCAAACACCAAAGAGACACCACATGCACAGCATTAAAGAGTATTAAAACTGGCTGTTTCTTTATTAATGAAGGTGAAGACAGGGGAAATAATTTCCCCCCGGCTTTTGCATTATACCATGGTAAGTTTATGGCATATCAACAAATCCTGAAGACAAACACAATGATTCCACAGTCAGAGAGTTTCAATTTGCCATCAACTAAACCCTCAACTAGCAATCAGATACTGGTCTGAAGTATACTCTGGAGAACAATCCTTTTGAATGGAAAAGTTTTAATTTATTAATCTATTTAAAGTTGTCAGATGAAATCTATCTTGATCCTTAATCAATCCATGGCACAAAAATTACTAGAAAAATTGAACTGACTATGACACCTGACCTAGCTCTCAACTCCCTTTGACTTTGCTAACTTGGTAACACTGTTAACATCTGATGTTGTTAATGGCTTTCTGTGTTTAATGATTTTGCATTTAGTGTGTTTAATGTTCTTGTCTATTGCTGCTCTGCTCATCACTAACAGGATTTTATCTGAGATATTAAGAAGGTTGCCTTATTTCCTTTCAAAAACAAAATTAGATGTTTACAGTCATGTTTCAAAAATAGAAATTTCAGCCATGTAGTTAAAAAACTTTTTTCTTTAACTTTAAATCTTCTTTTGAATACAGTACTGTCCTTCCTGATTACTGCTGATAGATATAACTTCTTGTTAATCTGCTCTCAGTACTTGTTGTGTGCAACTTGAAGAGCTGGCAGCCACATCTCTGCAGGTTTTGATTATTTCATTGGTAGTTATTTAGTGACATCAAAACACCATCACACAATGGAATTCTCTGTGAGTCATGCACAACCATGGAAAATCATGGACCATGAGTGAAGGGACTGATGGAGAAACAGCCAGTTTCACTGCAGTCTATATAAATTAAAATAAATAAATAAATAAAAGTCTTCTAAATACAAGAGTATATTGTAATTATATGTATTCACACACAGGCACACAAAGAAAGACATTGAACAGAGTGAGCACAGTGTGCCAAGAACAGAAAAAAAACAGCCAAAAGGGAAGGACAGCGGGGAAAAAGGCAACAGATGAACATTAAGCTGCCATGCTGAGGAATTTATTTGCGTCTTTTACTTGGTTGAAGGCGAAGCTGTTGGACAGCTGCTTCAGCAGCGGCGATGGCTGCCCCAGCGTCTTCAAGGTGAGTTTGAGTGACGCTGGTTTTGCTTTGGCTGCGAGATGGACCGTGAGAGCGTAGATGTCCTTCAGAGGAAGATTTGGAGCTCCCTGGACTGCTGTGGGATTTCTCAATGGTGGGCACCTGCATGTCTACCGAGAAAATGAAGAAGCGCAACTGTTGCATTTATTAAAAACAAACAAACAATTTAGTTTCTTTTCTCTTGACTGGCCTTTCTAGCTGCATTCCAGAACAAGGAATAAAGACAGAGCTGTGCAATGCCATTCAAAGTCTTGGGATGTATCACGGTTAGGAAACTCTTATGAAGCACCATTTTCTACTTCTCCACTCTTCCCTGGCCCAGGGAATATTTACAATTTACAATTTACTATTGGGTTTCTGTCACCTGTGAATTATGCCTCCTGTGCTGGTTGACACTGGTGGAATGACAGGGTAGCCTAGTGACTAATTTGTTTTCCACTTTCTACTTCCCTAGTATGTAAAGATTAACTAGCATCACTTACACCGGTACCGAATATTTAGCTAATGCAAGCAGTTTTATTCTGATGAATGCCCTGGTCAAAACCGTAGCCTAACTTACAATACCTTCTATACTAACCTCTAATTTACATATAGATCTTATATAGATACCAAGCCCTAGCAAAACATTACACAGAGAAACAGAGAGGAGATGGAGCAGAGTCTTATCACTCCGAGGCTCTTATCTGGATGCTACTTGGGATGGCTTTTGCTTTGATATGACATACACTGTGTTTTAAGTGAGCAACTGGCCACTGACTACCTAGTATAAACAAAAAAAGTAAAGATTAATTTCTTGGAGCAGGAGACACTGAGATCAATTCTGCTTTTGTAAATACTAGTATAATTCTACTATATCAGCTCCACCGATTTCCAGTACAATTGAGATATGCTACAGCCCGTTATCATTGACTGGAAATACATCTGCATTATTATAGCATAATTGTTATTCTATAAAATATTAATGTGACATTTCCAGAAGAAAAAATGCCATAGAATATTTAAGGAACAGGAAAAACAGAAAGCTAAATATGTATTGAAATTGGCCAAGGCTACCAGAAAAATGAAAAGGGCACAGAATCTACAGTAGAAATGCAAAGCACTTAGAGCTAGTAAGCTGCTGTTTTAAGGACACAATTACTCATTTAAACTGGCTGGCACTGATTAAGCCAAATTAAGCCTTTGCTGCAATGAATTAATCACAGAGATAAATAAATTTTTAATAACAGTGTATGCAAACTTCATAGCAGTAACTTTATTTCTCTATTAGAACCTCCACATAGGTTTTCCCATCATCTGGGAAAACATTTCATATCAGGTGCACCACGTCATTCCTACCCTTGGAGGGGTCTGGGAAAATTCCATGACTTCTGCTCTTGATGACAGACGGTTTTGGAGATTGCTGGCTACTCTGTCCAGAATGAGATTTCCCATGATCAATGTTTTCACTCTGTTCTTTCAGAGGGTACCACCGAGGAGTGTTGTCAAGCTGAGAGACGCTGGATAACTCGATCAATACCTATAAATAAATCAAAGTACAATACATGGCCTGTATCTGATCTATTAATGATTGTGTACAGCAGAAGAGTCTACAGTTGTGTTACCAGAAGTTGCAATCAAATGTAAGAAGTTAATGGTATAAGGCTGTGTGCTGACAGATTCAGGACTCCTTTCCCATGCTCTGACCTTGCCTGATATAAGCCAGCTGTGATCCTAAACCTACATTTATTAGCATATCGATGTGTCTGAACTAACATATCTTCTCAACAGGACCTCAGTAAGGACTATGAGCTTAGATATAGCTCCATACCAAATGGCCAGATAGTTTAAGGGGTACGTTGTGAGCACTAGCTTGACAGCTAGACTAAAAAGACATCTAGTCATTCTGCCTCTGTATAGACATATCCTAATAGAATTATCAGGCAATGCTATTTTATCCTTTTTGTCAGTGTTAGTAAAGGGGCAAATAATTTGATATTTGTTTTTCATAAGGTCTTCAATAATATGAGACTGGTGCTTGTTGATCCTTTTAAAAAATCCACATATACAGAATTTGTAACAAAAAGAAAAGAATAGGGATACCTTTGTACTTCACTGAAATAATAAAATTCAATAGGCCATTTAGGCCTCGAAACTTCATTGGAAAAAAAAAGGGGAGATGCAATGGCAATGTGGAAATGAAACGAACCACTTGGCTAAAAAAAAACCCCATTGTTGCTAAAATCTGCTCTGGGCCACCTGCATTGCTAGCAGGAGTTTAGTGAAATTTCTTTTCAAAAGAAAAAAAATTTTTAAAAAATGGGCAATAGGACCAATAAGGACCCTTCCTCCCTTAATGGTCTTACAGCTAAGAGGGCTAAGAGATGTAAAATACTAAAGAGTCATCACAGAGTCTTCAATGGTGGAAAGGACAAAAATAGCCTTGCATTTGGCTCTATGGTGAGGGGGTTAAAACTAATGTCGGGTAGAGAAGTTTTAGAAGTGCTAGACAAATAAAGTGTGCAATTACTTCAGGGAACAATGTCTTTGTCAGTTTATTACAAGACCCTGAATAAAAGAAAGCCTCTTCAAGTTTAGGGATGGAGAATTCTCTTCACAACTGATTTTTTTCTAGAAGGTTGAAAGCCTTTTTTCTTTCCTTTTTACTTTCAGCTTCATAGGTTGTATATGACCTGGCTTGGTCTGTCTGGTTAGGTCTAAACTTAATCTCAACAGATTAGCTATTTAGCATACTCTCTGTTGTGGCTTTTGGTCATGGTTTTGGGAGTGACTTGGAGGACAGGGGATTGTTCCCAATAGGCAGTATAAGCTAGAGTCTCTGCTCTGCAGGAGAAGAGAGTTCACATTCCATGGATGTGAACCCTGATGTGACACTTGACAGCCGGGGCATGGAAGTGGTGCTGGCCCTATTCAAGTAGGGCACAATTTGGATATCCCATATTTGATTTTATGGTGCAGGATTCCTCTGGGCATTCTGGTCCTGAAATACACTGGATATTCTTTGCCATTCCTTTTTTCCATGAAGAACTGTTTTCATATTTAACTCTGAATAATTTAATAGCTAAAATAGTTCTAGAAGTTGAAAATATTTGAAGGCAAAAATTTAAATCTTCCTGTAGAAGCAGCTGCTGGAGCATCCATTTTCTAAATGTCAAAAATAACAATGATGTAAATATTCAGTAAAGCCCTGCATTTGGACAAACATGCTGAACTCAACAAGAATACTAATGCAGTATGCAGGAAATAAATAATCATGTAGCTGCTTCCTATACATTTATTTTAGTAATTGTTCAAATAGTGACACTGATTGCTCAGTTTTGTAGTTACACAAAAGGGAACTGGAGCTGAACTGAGTGCCTTTTTTGTGAAATTCAAATGCAGAATGAGCAGAGATACTCTGATTTACTCTGTATATGAGTGATCAATTTTCCTGGGCTCCTGTTTCTAATTATATTCCTCTTTTGTAATAACATTTTCAATTACTTTTTTGACATCATAGTTATTGCTGGTAATTCTGTATTATACATGCATATGTTTGTTTATTTGCTTTTAAAAGAGACAGCATACTTCTTCCCATGATCAACCATTTCATTTATTATTAGTTACAAGATTTTTGCCTTCAGTCATACTTTGGTAATGTTACTAATACTTTGTAGTGTTAAAAATGAGACCTTGATCAGCAGTCCAAATTACTCACACTTGCAGATACTTGTTCATGGGCTAAATTATGGCTTGATGGCAGAATTTAATCCTTTAATCATTTACAAAGACTGATACCTCTTCAGCCGTCTCATGTTATGTTAAAATCAAGGCAGACAGGTCATCAGTCACAACAAAAATTCCCCATTCAGTCACTGTGAAGGCTGTTACTATCTCAGTCTCAAAAAAAATCTTAATTTTCAGTGAAGTAACATTGTATTGAGTCCTAAATGAACTTACCTACAGTTTATTGAGATAAAGGGAAGGCATCTTTCATGTGCAAATGAAAGAAATCATGACCATTTGTTATAAAGTCAGCAGTAAAACTGTGACGTAAGCAAGGTTTTACTTAAACACATGTACCGTACTTTGGAAGCGAACAGTCTCTAAATACCAGCATGCAGTTAATGAGCTTTCTAACTAGCCAGGGTTAGAGAGGAGGAAATAAGATACTTACTTCACCAAGGAAGTCATTCGAGGAAAATCTATCATAATCCCAGACAGTCACTTCCAGTGTTTTCTTTTTCAGCTGCAATTTAAGTCAAAGGATAATTAACCCCATTGCCATCACAAACTTCAGATCAAGTCTTTATGGTGGCTTCTATTCATTATCTCCTCCTTTTCACAGTGACAGGCAGCTTTTGTTCTCCCATCAACCTTGATCTCAGAAAAATAATTTGGGGCTATTATTTGTTATGAAGACAAATGGGCTTGTGCTTGGCCCTATTTCAGGAATTTCCACAAGTTGTTTTTGACAGAATGTGTGTCCACTACAAGAGCTGAACTGATTTTTAAAGCCCCGTTTTTGTATTTCTGCAGCTTTTCTCACCATCAGGTGAACTCAGACATTTGCCTAAAGTCCATTTGAGTGTGAATTTCAAATGTATTTAGAACACCCTACTTACACAATCTCACCTGTGAAGACCAGGCTTTAATACCCTTGCAATTCAGTGTAGCCAATGGGACTCTGCAAGTGATCCAGAGATGCAGGACATGTTGTACTGTTAGGTATTAATGACAGCCATCAAAAAACATTATCTGCAGATCTTGTTAAGCATGATAGCTGTGTCAAGCACTCCTCCTACAGGCTACAGTAAGAAACAAGTAAGTCTTTATATATGACAAGATAGCACAAGACAGAGGAGCTGTTGAGCAAAGCAGTTGACCTTATTGGAAAGATTGACCTGACTGTCATTCCAGGGGTCTGTGGGGACAGGTGGGGAGAGGACTGATTACCAGTGTTGTATGGTGAGGCAAAAGCTAGCAGGTGGCTGGTGAGACAGTAATAAATTCATGTGGCTTGAAAGAGAGGACAAAATTCTGGGGGTATGGGAAGTCTGGGGGTTTGGGATGTCTGTGAAGTCAGGCTGAGAAGTTGTAAGTGAAAAATTTGGTGGACACTTCCGAGCGTTACTAAGGAAAACACGACTCTGTTCACGTGCTTGAATAAAAGAGGTCAGAAGCAGAAATCTTATGTGATAATTGAGGTCATCATCCTAACAGAAACAATGTGTCACTCACTGCTCTGACTATTAATTGGCTGCTCAGGACAAAGGGACAGGAAAGGATCAAGTCGTTCAAAATCAGAAGCTATACCATTTTCTGTACATATTATATATACTTTCAAGAAAAGCACTGTTTTCTATTTACCTCCACTGCCCCTTGCTTTAATGCAACACAGATTCAGACAGTTCTGAACAAGTTTAAATTGCCTTTAAATGATAATTTAATCTCATTATTATGTATTCAGAATACCTTCTGCTCCTAGCTAACTTTAGAAAAATGAGCAACTATGGAAAGCCAGTGTCTTTGAAAATCAAGTTTAAATCAGCATATCCTGGAAAGCCCACACAAAGGGGAATTGTACTATTTTTAGCATCAACAATGTACTCTTTAAGCAAGCAACAACATTTCTGAAATGTTGAAATAATCTTGAAAGCTAAGAATAAAAAAAAAAAATATTGGAGAGCAATTCTTTAATCTTTCTCTGTTTTATTCCTACACAATTAGGCAACATTCTTCTTAAACATTCTTTTTAAAAATATCCTGCAAAAATTACGGAAAAAGTTGAATGAAAAGATTCTCTTTTGAACATCCCTCACAGAATACTTGTAAAGCTGATTTTCTTGACTGAATAAAATTCCTTTTCTTTGCTGTTCCAAGACAGTATCAAAAATGCAATGTGAAAAATAACCTGGAAAAATGAGTTGAGCAGCCACTGGTCCATGCTACTTTTAGCTTCCTGGATGATGTAATTTCCCACTAGATGTTATATTAAGAATATGTATTTTTACCTTTTAAAAAAGATGAATAGCATAAATACTTTTCAGAATTATATTGTCTCAATTGTTGATATTTTGGGAGGACATGTGTTTCTTGTTTCAAGTGATGACTGTGCAAGGACAGAGAGAAGAATGTATAGATCCAGGAAAGGAAAAAAAAGATGATGATTTGAAGGATTTTTGGTGGAAAGGGGAAAATAGAGAAGATTTTCAAGTAACTGCAACCCTACTTTACTAGCTTCTTTGCATTAGTATGATAATAAAACTGTGCTGAAAACTTGGAGTACTCTACATTTCTTTGAGTTACCTATTTTAAGCCTCTTAGTTTAATAAAGCTTTTATAAAATATTATGACAATGAAAAAACCATCAAAAGAATTTAATTAGGCAGAGTGTATGAAATGAGTTTCAAAGAGGAGGAAAATTTGCTTTTCTGAAGATATATTTATGTACCACTATTAAAGTGGTGGCAAAGAACACTCAATGGCTACTGATTTTAAAAGCAGCCATTATACCGTCACAGCAAAGTAGGGTTCTGCCTAACATCATCCATTTTAGGTCATGCAGCCAGAAGTTCAGATACCCATCAGGAATTTAACTGACAGCAATACTGAAATGGGTTGCAGAATCCCACTACCTGATAGTGGGTTTCTGCAAGTGGGCAAGGAATCAATAGCAAAATGAGAAAGTGTCCCTAAAAGAAGGAAAGCAGTTTACACACGTTTTGAACCTTATTGGAGTTCCAAATGTATTATGAAAAAGTGTTACTAAGTCTCAACTAATTTCAGGCTTTCCCTTGTGGAAAAAATAAAAATAAAAAAATAAATAAAACCCCACCTAAAAGTATATTTCTGCATGTGAAGTCCAGTTAGCTTTAGGCTGCTGTGGACAACCATCACTTAAAGAAAGTGAAGGAATACACAGAAACTGCCAATGTGAATATATTTTATCTTATGGAAGACATAACCAACACTGCACATGCAAAAGTGCCTGTTTCTTGTTTTGAATGTCTGGAGAGCACTGGGTGTTGTTACAGATAATGTGGATCTGTATAACTAAATATGCATTACTTGAAATATTTAATGCACTTTCCTTGAAAATCTCATACAACGCATGACTAGAGGAAAGAAATAATTTTAATGCAGTTTGTTTTTCTCCTATGCTGAAAGTAAATTCCTATAATTACTTTGGAAATTATATAAAAGATTACAGTCTCAGGATGTTTGATGAGTAGAAATGAAGGTGTTGTAATAGATCATGCATTATACTTTTTTGTGTTTACATTAATATTTAACATTTTATTGTACTCTTTATATTGCTGTACTTCAGTACATGGGAGGACAAAAAGACTTTTGCTAGATCACTTAGAAAATTAACTTTCTCTTGTCCAAGATACTAAGTAAGATTTAGGTACCAACACCTTGCTGATTCATAAGAAAGCTTTTCTTACTTTTGGAAATAAGACATAGGCTCCTACATCACTCAAGGATTTGAAAATATTACTCTTTCTAAATATATTACCTTCAATTTATCGACATGAGCTACAGCAAGCTTTAATTAATTATATCGATCATTTAAGGAAATACTTTTATCTCCTTTCTGACAAGTAAGAAATTGAAGCAAATAAGGCCACACCTTATATTGTGGTCATGCATTACACCAACAGCCTGACCAGCAACAGAATTTACTTCTTTTACCATCTTCTCCTTAAATCATTCTAATGCTTTCTTTCATGCTCTGAGTAGGTATGTGACTTGAGTTAGCAATTATTATACAATATTTTTAATATGTGTACTTGGCCTTCCTCTCAAACTGTCATTATACCCACTTTATTACTTAAAAAAACCCTTAAATTACTAAATATTCACAGTTTAATTTATTTTTTCTCCAGCTGTCAAAGTAGAATTTGCTACGTGATAAAACTAATCATTCTGACCTTGAAAAAGTCTGTTTCTTTTCAAAGAGTGATATATTTCCCTTAATTATTTTCACTTTAATTTCAGCTAGGTTATGAAAGAGAAAAGGAAAATGAAAAACTGTACAACCAGCTAAAGTCTAGACAGTGACGTTAAAAGGACTATATTAGGAAATATTTAATAATACTTATTTGCTGTCAGCAAGCAACACATGCTTAGATGGAGGGAAACAAAGTGCTTATTTGAAGAAATAATATTTATAAGGATTCACTAATTTATTTTCGGGTATGATTGCTAACTCTGTATGACTTAGTGTATGGTGCAGTTTTGCTTGTTTGGTGATCAGAACTCTGATTCCCAGTCTATTACGATTATTGTCTTGTACTTCTTTTCATATTCCTAACTGTTTTGAAATATCCATTTGTGAGGGTTATGAGTACAAACAATATACTATTGCAAGCTGATAGTTCTTCAAACTGTAGAGGGTACTTATCATCAGCATGGAATTATTTCGCAATTTAGAAATGTGTTTTACTGTATATTCTCTAAGGCAGGGCACTGAATTTTATAGGAGAACAGTCACTCAAAGCGGTATCTTACCAGTAGATACAAGCCATGGAAAGCTGTGTATGGAAACACTATTCCCTGCACACACTTCTATGGGACAAGAGGACAAAATATACAACATGCTTAAATGAAGCTTACACACTTATAATCATAAGCACTGCATAACAGTCTCAGAGGAAGGGAAAAGGAGGAGATCTGCAAATAGAAAGCAAAGGTTCAAAGAATTCTATATGCAACCTAAAGGCAAATTCCATCAAATAATGGTCAAAAAACTGACATCAAAGTTACTAGATTTTCTGACATAAAAATCTGTGTCCAAGAAATCATAGACTAAGATCATTATCCAATTTAAAATCACCAGTCATTGAATGTCCAATACCCAAACACTCTTAATGAGAGCTCTGTGAAATGTCACAGCAGAACCTAAAAGCAAATTAAATAAACAGAAGAGCCTTTCTTAAATGGAAAGCTCAGTTTGGAAATATTGCCAAGACTTACCAAACCTTGTCACAAGACCCAGAAGACCCAGGGTTTATATTGCAGCTAGACGAATATCACAGTTTTTTTTTTCTGATGCTTGCACTGTCAATGAGCTACCATTTATGCAAGCCTACACAAAACAGCATGTAAAACCCAGCAAACCATAACCTCCACATACAACAGGGTACCTCTGAAGTAAATCTGAGCTACTGCCTATTAAATTCAGATGTGTAGATTCCACAAGCAACCATGCAAGTCTCCCTGTAGGAATGGGTCTTTTCCATGAAAAAATTAGTATCTTAATCTATGTTTCTCTCAATGAACAAGAAGAATGAGTAACCAAATTTTAAGTTAGGAAGATAATATTGAAGTCTTGGTGTTGTGCTGGAGAAGTACATGAAAAAGCATTGGGAAATCTATTCACTAAAGAGTCTGATTATTCTGGGCTTTTTTAAGAAGTACTGAAAGATAGCTGGGCTTGAAAAAGGAAGTTGAAAGTATCAAGAACAAAACACTAAGAAAGGCAAAAAGATTTGGGACTGTGTACAGATACATTATTCAATAAAATATACTTCATAATTTAAACAAATGGACTAATCATCATTTTGCTCACTATGCTTTTTTTCAAATGGTAAAAAGTCCCTTTAAAAGGGGGAGATGGAGAAAAAGAGGACTCAATTGTTATGTACTGCTGCAGTTAACCCTATAGAATCGTAGAATTATAGAATGCTTTGGGTTGGAAGGGACCTTTAGAGGCCATCCAGCCCAACCCCCCTGCAGTGAGCAGGGACAACATTAACCAGATCAGGGTGCTCAGAGCCCCGTCCAGCCTGGCCTGGAATGTTGCCAGGGATGGGGCCTCCACTACTTCTCTGGGCATATATACATATATACGTTTATACATATGTTTGAATAAGAAAATGGTAGGACCTGTGTTTTGTGTGAGCTTGCATGGCTTTTGGAATGAAGAGTGACAGTGATTTCTGCATCTACTTCAGAAACTTATGTTTTAATTTATTCCCTCCCCGTATTCTGCTATCGTTTTTTAAATTGCCACATCTGTACTTATGACATGATTATGAGTGTAATCCCCACAAATTACCATTTTTATGAGTAGAAGGGACAAGAAAAGAGTATTGATACAGTAAGCTCTGTCAGAGGCAAGGAAATAGTTCCAAATTGCCCCTAAATTTGGCAAGGTTTTACAGTGGTTCACGGAATTGCCAGTAGCACTGCTCCCTTCACAGTGAGCACTGCAGACCATACAAACAATAAAGCAGCAAATTGCACTGAACTGTACTACCAGTCACGCACCTGCTCCATGGAGATATTTTTATAAATGACTGTCTGATTCCACTCGGGATTCAAGCTTTTCTGTACGTACTTAGTTCTCCGCTTGTACTCAGCACTGAATTTGAACAAAGGAAGGAAACATTACATTAGCCATCTTTTGTTTCTTTCAGTTCTAATGCAAAAAAACCACCCACAAACCAAAAACCAGAAAAAGAAAAGAACTGCACCCTTCATTTCTGCAACAATCAGGCTTACAAGAGGACAGTAACAGCCTTTGGGTTTTTTTCATTAGCATGCTTTCCTGCAATGGTCTTTTAAAACATTTTCTTCTGACTCTTCAGCAGGCTAGCCCTGCCTACAGCCATTTTAACATAAAGCATCAGCCATCACATGCAGATACGCTTTGTTCTCTCATCGTAGGTGTTGGGCTCTGATTATAAATTGAATTGATAATGCATTGATTTCTTTTCCAAGACCATCCTCCTATTAGCACTTTAAAGTATCATGAATCCATTATATTTATAGGTTACAGTCTCTAATTACAGGAGTCGCATCTCACAAGAACATTTAATGAATGCCATGGGGTAACTAATATCCTGTTAATGACAGAAACACTGATTTCTTATTGATCCTGTTCTCTGCCTATACCTCTAACTGTACTGGAAACAAACATAGAAGTGCATCAAGCTCATGATTGTTTTTATCAATAGCCAAGAATAAAAAGTTTGACTGCATGATCTGTTTTAAAAAAGAATTGGTAGTGCTTTCTGTTGTACTTGGTATTGCCTCAGTATGGAGAAAGCAATACACTAACCTTTAACAGAATATGGATTCATTTATCTCTGTGAGCTTTGATGTCAGATTTGCTTCCATTCCAATTTTAATTTAATATACATTTTAATGGAAATCTCAAAAGAGATGGGTAGGAGAACATGACAAGCTTTTAATACTTTAAAAACCCAACAAGATATAAGGTAAAGAACCTCTTTTTGCCAGTCTGCAAGTCAACTGCCCTTTGTCTTCTGTTCAAACCTCCCATACATTACAAGACCTATGTCCTATATCTATTACTAAATTAAATGTTCCCAGGACTATTCTCCAGCTCTAAGGCCAAATGCCACAGAATGACCTGTATCTGCCTTATTAAACTCTCTTATGGTTCCCCTACATTAATTTTTGGTAGTGTGCTGTTCTCTTGATTCTCACTTGCGACTTTTGATTGAACTGTATTTTGGTTCACACTGTGGCATGGTCTCAGAGCTAATGAACTAGATTCCTTTCATATGAGATTAACTCAGAAGATGCACTCCAGGGGCTCGTTTAATCAGCTAGTCACTGATGGTGTACCATGCATGATTGGAGCAGGTCTGAATTAAGGTTATGTGAAAGATGCGTGTTTTACTGACACATATATGTTAATGTTGGGTCTCCAGCACCAGCAGTTTCACTCTACAAACAATTCTACTGTGCAGTGCTCCTCTCTAATTATTCTGGAGCCTTATTCTCCAAAAGGGGGTGGCCATATCCAAGCTGCCTACTAGACTGATATCTTTTAATGAAAGGGACTTGCAATTATTTTAGCTCTTAGATTTCTCTAGTCATTCTATGCAATTCCTTTTATTTTCTTGCAAAACATGCTATCCACTTGCTTATCCAAACATGGTTCCAGTTTATCGAAAAAAGTGAAAGGCATTGGAATCTGTGAAACAAAGTACCTATCAACCTCTGCTTATGAGAAGAAAGCAACAGTTCTCCACAGTTCAACCAGTTCTGTCAGCCACAACATACAATGGTATATTTTTGGAAAAAAAAAAAGGAGGTTTCTTTTTTCTTGTATGTCAGTAAGAAAAGGATGAATTAAAATCTAGGGGGACCAAGAGCATATGAAAAAGAAACTCACACAAGATTGTTTCTTTGCATATCTTGGAAGAAAAGCTGAAATACAAAACCTAATCCTTTTGGAAACTAGATTTTGATGGCAAATCCTATTCAGTAATGCACTTAATTTTTTTAAGCCCCTCAGTAGCCTTCTCTTCCCACTCTCTGATCTGAGAAAAGCATCCCTACCACTCAAATTATTAATGAGATTTGACTGACCCATAAGGAGACATGGACAGGGGCAAGTGACCACTGTGCTGGCAGCATCTGTCTCTCTCTCTGGGCTCACAGTACTCCTCAAATTCTCTATTCTGATCAGCTATTAATGAAATATTAACTTATCTAAATGCCTCCTACACCCAGAATAACCCACTTACTTCTTACCTTAACTAAGCCAGGTTACTGTTATACAGCTTGGGCCTGTCTAAATGTCATATGATCTACTGTTTTTGAGGAACTGATATGTTTTCATATTTTTGAAGAAAGTAGGAAAGGACCATTTGTGCACTCAACCAAGAAAATGACACCCAGATACTCCCTTTCCTTTCCTGGATTTCCTTTTACAGTATTACAACTTCATCACCTTTTCAAAGTTTCTGATTATTTTCAGAAATATGTGAGAAGGTATTTCATGTAGTGTTGAGTTTCAGAGCTGGCAGTGACAAAAGTTAACATGGTAACTCTGGAGTTTTTCCATTGAAGGCCATAGAGTATTTGGATGTAAACTGGCAAGGGTGGTGGTAGCCCACATTCATGAAACCTACGGTCTGGATCTGTTTCAGAGGGAAGCAGGAGACCTTGACCACTTCTAAGGAGGTGCAGACCCAGGCCAAGCTGGATGGCAGCTGAAGGTTTCTAGACTGCTGAAGGGAAGGATCTGGCAAATATATTAACTTCATACCTCTGATGCACCTTCCCCCCAACAATTGTGATTGACAGATTAACAGATCAATTAATTAATCATTAATCGTGATTAATGCTTTAATAAAATGCATTCATAAACCTAGCATGAAATAATTTGCACTTGAAATTCGCGGAGTATGCTATGTAAAAATATACAAACTGCATTACTCTTTTCTTTATTGTTTGTCTATGCTTCCTTAATTATAGTTTTTTAATACATAATAAAAATGAAAATACAATGAAAAAACTATAATAGAATAACTGCATATAAAATGTAGCATTTAAACACATTCATTAAATAATTTTATTAATGAAGAAACAGGCTGACAATAGAGAACAACTGTTTATTAATTTTCATCTGTTGACTTGTTTGGTCAGGTTTCTACTTTTAAACAAATTTAGAATTAGGGCTGAATTATCTTGAGAATGGAGTTTTGCCTTGTGTTTCCAAATCCAGGACAAACAAAGCACTAGTATTTCAATAACTAAAAATTCAACTTTGTTTACCACAAATAGCCATTTATGTGGTCAAGCAGCTTTAAAGCCAGCTGGGCAATTATCTAGAATTATGCCTGCCTTAATGTCTATACATTGTCCAAGGTGTAGAGAGAAAAATAGTCCATTTCATTTCCAAACAGTGCCTGTTTCTCTTGGCAGTAATACCATTCAAAATCTTGATACAAGTTCACAGTTAATTATTTTGCAACTTTCAGTGAATGAGAATGGATTTTTAGATATCTCTGAACTAAATTTTTCCAGACTTCTAAAGAAATTTTGTTTGTCATCAGAGTTTGGCCCTAGAATATTATTGCATTGAGGAACTTGTTTCCAGTTCGTTCAAACCTGGAAATGGGATTCATTAAAGAATGAACAGCAAAACCATGCTGCAATCGTGTGTCATCAAAACTCAAGAGAAATCTATAGTTCAATGCACAGGTCTATTGTAATATCATGCACGCATACAAAAATGAAAGAAGAAAATTGGAAGATAGTACACTCTACCTTGCATTTTGGACAACCATGACTTGCCTGCATACCCAGCATTTACAGAGTTAGGAACACAGAGGAAGCAGTGTGAAAGAAAATGAGAACAGAGATGAAAGAATACATGTGAATAATGGTTAGTTTCTAGTATCGGAATCAAAGGAAATAGAGGCATTAAGAAGAATAAGAAGTCTAGTATGGATTGAACTACAGATAAAAGATATTCAGTGGCAATTCAAGTTTCTGCTTTCAGAAACAAGTCTGGCACTCTTGAGAAGCTCTTCATTTTCATTATTCCCAAACCCCCAAGTTGCATGCCAAACTGTAACTTTGCCTTGTGTTAAAATAATGAACCCAAACAAAACGAAAATCCAAACTTTTCATAACATGGCCACAAGTTTAAACCTATACTTGGATCTGGGTTAGACCTCTGCAGGGTGAACGTCTCTCTAGTTCAAAGCCTTCTTTCTACATCAGTGAACGTACCTGCAAAATTCCCAGTAAGACTGATTTTACAAGTATTTTACAAGACTCTTAGGTGCATTAAAAACCCCTCAATATTTAGGACCTGTTTCCATTATATTCAGTAATAGTTTTGGGCCCAGTGCCACTGAATAATATTGAATGCTGCGCAGCTTGAATTAGCAGACTACAAAAGAATACGCATGCCTTCAGTTGTACCATTCATGTGCTTTTAGTGGTGCTTGTCCGTATGCCAAATGCTCAACTGTGACCTGAGCATCCGCTTTCCTGTTACTCTGAATAGAACAGAAATACAGACTTTTAGCTGCATGGTCTTAGCCTAAGAGTCCTTTAGGGTGAGTGTGATTACACAAGCAGAGAAGTTTGCAGGCATTTTCTTTGCAATCTAAGGACTGATCCATCAGCTTTAGATATATTATTGTGTCACTGAAGTCAGCAGGATTATTATAAACATGTATATTTATACATACGTATAACATTCTGTAACTTTAGGGCACACAAACCAGTTATAATATTGCTGATACAGAAACATATCTTTTAAAGGAAACACTAATGAACTATTTGTAATTACAGAGTCTAAAAAATCTGTGAAAAAGTGATTAGTGATTTGTATAGTCAGTAGATACAAAATTACCAGAATTTCTAAAATCACATCTTAGCTCTTAAAAAAAAAGTAATAAAAAAAATCACATGGAATGAATGTTTTCTGTCTAGTATTTCTCACCTTTGGTATTATACTGTGACCTTAAATTTATCTCAGATACTGTAATTCTGCACATTTGCAAAACCGTCCCAAATTCAAAATGTCTTGAGCTGAAGCAACAATTCTATTTTAACCTTAACATGTAGCTTTCTACATTATAGAATGTATTACACATATTTAATACATTTCAGGAGAGTCTGCTGTTCTTTTAATACATGATTTTTCATGTATTAGAATTTTTAAATGGAAACATGAAAAAAAAATTAAATCTACAGGAACAATCAAGATGTCCCTGAGGTCATTAGCAAAGTATGCACATTCTCCTGGGAATAGGATCTGGCTCTCTATTAAAAATCCAGCATTTTTTCTGATGTTGTACCTGGATTTTCTCTAGCAATAATTCTCAGTTCTGTTCATTAGTGACAAGTAACAAACCCAAATTAAAAGAAATTTCAGGTTAAAATTTCTCCTAGACTTACCCTCTCCCTGGAAGAAGATAAACTTTAACAAAGGGGTCAGAATAGCCATTGTTGTCTCTGGGAGCAAGGTTTCTTGCCTGAAGAATGTGTATGATAAGGTTGCCAAGGTGTTTGTCATAGTTGATTTGAAGCTAGAGAAAGCATTAAAACACAGTAAGATCTTTTGTTATTTTTACTTCATAATTGATTCAATACCTCTCCAAAATCCTTTGAATAAAATGAGTTTTAGACCTTTACTTTGGTGGAAATAAACACATTTCAGAAGTCTCTGTCTCTATTTCCTGACTAGAATGAGGTGCTAGATGATTATGTTGGATCTTGAAACAAATTTTTCTTTCAAAGTCTGTCAATATTTGTTGTGAGGAAAAAAAAAAAAAAGGAATTGAACTATTCCAGTCAGGAAAAAGCTTATGAAATCTGAACCCTTGATATTATTCTGAGCAACAGCCATCTTATTGAGCAAGACTTACACAAATTATGACTTCCTGGAGCCCAAGCCCAGGAAGGATGTTATAATACTATGGAAAGACCCTTAGTACGAGTATAGGAGAGGGGGGTGAATTAAGGAAACAAAAGACAGAAATCTATGGGAAATTAGGCTTCATTTATTCTGCTACTCCTAGTTCCACTGCTTTTAAAAAACAGAGTAACAAACTAGAGTAGAAAACTAGAACCACAAACCTGGCATTGCATGGAAATGAATGCACTGCACTATGAGAAACCCACAACCGCCTTGCTTAAACGTAGAGAGTCTGGGAATTTCTGAAGTAAACCACAATAAGTGCCCAAAGATTAAAGATTAGAATGAATTTCACTACTTTCTTAGCTCCTTCAGCAACAGTAGCATTTTCCACTCTTCTGTTTGTATTTCAGAAGCCAACATTAAAGACAGAGGTGAAGATCTATCACTGACTTACATGAGTGACATTCCAATGGGTTGGAGTGGAATAAGAAATCAGTTAATGGAGATTATTTTCTGTAAATTTATACATCAGAAAAATGCAGCCAGTAGCAACAACAATTTACACAGCAAAACCTACATATTTACCTGAATTTCTCCAGTGATTGGATGGGAAGCAGACTTTGTAGTTTCAGTGGGCTGCCAGATCAAAATACATAAATAAATACATAGGCACACACTCACAAATATACACATATGCACACTGGAAATAATAGATTTTCAAAGTTAACATTTTATCAGGTGTTGTTTATACTGCTGTATTGCCACATAGTTTTAAAAACTGTTTGTCTCCAATTTGTATGTTCAAACTAATAGTTATGGTAGCCCTTAAAGTCCAGCCCAGCCATTCCGATCAGCCTTTGTGCAAGTACAGGATCAGACAAATTGAACCCCAAAGTCTTTACAGTCTGAGTGGATTGGTCACACTGGGAGGCATGGGGAGGAAGAGACATATAGCATTAACCCTGCACAAAAAAAGTGAATGTTGCAAAGAGAAACCAAATACCACGTCAAGCACAACACAGCCATATTTCTATTGAAAGGCAAAGGTTACAGCAGTTTAAATTGAGTTTAGGTGAAAGCAGGTAGAAAGAGTGGAAAGAATAGTACTAAAAATGAGTGATGTGTGTAAGTGGAGTTCACAATTGCAAGCCATCTCATACAATATTTTTTGCTTTATTCTGTGTTTTCTGATAATCAGTTCAGCTACAACACTTCCTCCACACACCTTCATGACATGAAATTTAAATTTTCTGTCCTCCCCTTCACAATGCTGTATAATCTTGCCTGTTTCTCTGTCTCTATTGCTGAGCTTCTCTAGGTTGCTGACAAAAGCAATAAAATGCTCGGTGTCTTTTTTCCCCTTTGTCTTCCTTCATGTTAGTAGTTGGAAAATAAGACCACCATTTGTTTCAGAACTAACCAGCAAAATCCCAGTGAAACACTAATGCAACAGAAAACAAGGGAGAAAACCAGCCCACACCTGCCTGTTATATAGTTATATTCACTGTCTTGTGCTGCCTTATTTTTGTTTGGTTTACATGCTTTACCTTACCTTCTAATTTTTCTGGAAATGCATGTGCATCTCAAAAATAATTCTTGTGGAAAATTTTTAATTTCTTGGTCCCTTACAAAGCTTTTGAAGTGTAATCCCTCTAACAGCTAAAATAGATCATCAATAGTTTATAAAATGTTCTGAATCTTAAGTGATATTTTAGATTGACAGCAAAGTACTCCTAAAACTTGTTTGGTCCTTGAAAGAATATTCAAACAGAGAATTTCACTCCTTTTGCCAAAGACAGGGACTTACCTGAGCATCATGCAAACTTTCAAAGCAGGGCTTAAATGGCTTACATTTCCCATACTTTACTTCTACAAATGGATTTTAGTATACTTTAACAGTTCCGACCCCGATCTATACCAGCACTGACAATACTGACAATGCTACAAAATAACACGGAACATGGAGTTAGCTGTGCTGCATCTACAAAATCACTGCTGGATAGTCTAAATGCTCTGATTTTTCAGAAGCTTGAATAGCAAAAATAATGAGTCTGTTCACCCCAAATATCATGTAATAGAGAATGTGTTAGGACGAATAATGTAGAAGGAGTTCAGAGAAAAGGGAATGGGCATGCTGAATTTGTGTGGGGACTTCCAAAGGTGGCTGAAGTGGAGTTCCCTTTGGGCGTGTGGTTACTTTGCTTTCATCTACTTGTCTGTAAAAATAAATGCGCATTTTTATGTTTTGATATCATTGTTAAATCTTTATACTCATTTACAAGGCTGTGATTCAGCATATTAAATATTTTGTTTTCTCTCTGATGTCAGCTGATTTAAAACTGACCATGAAGAACTACCCAAATATTTCAAAGAAACATGAATAATTTAGGCTGAAAGAGGCCTCTCAAGGTCATCTAGTCAAACCCCCAGCTCAGAGCTGGGCCAACTTTGAAGCTGGATCTGGATTGAAAGGCAGGGATGCAAACAAGTATCTTTCTTTATCATGGCCTCAGTGAGGATTAATTTGAAAAGAAGGAAAAGCATTTCACTGCTGACTTCTCTAGGAGCTAAAGGATCTGAGGATTTAGAAAAACAACCCATTCTTTAAGATACAAAGACAATTAAATGTTTCTACAGGGCATTTATATTCTGCATGCGATCTGCACCATAGAATGATCATGCATTTACATTACAAAAGAAACAGGTCTGCACAGAGTATAGTCAGCTCAAGGCTCCCAAAGGTTAAATCTCTCCTGTGATAGCTAATCTAATTTCACTCTTATTTCTTTTGATACTCCCTGCACGCACTCACGCACCCTGTGTAAAAGCCGGTGCTTTGTAATGCCATCACACCTGCTGGAGAAGGTTGTCATTACCATGATGTGAAACTTCCTAATGCCAGGCTCTGATGTTATGCACTATCACTCTCTGTAGTAACGGGACAAAACATTAGATATGAGAGAATTGGCACTGCAGAATACCAGAGACTCTTACAATGTTTCTAGAGTGTATATTCTATGCAAAAAGCTTAAAAAAAAAAAAAAAAGAAAAAAGATCTTACTTGCTAAAAATAAGAACAGCAGCAAAAACAAGATCTAGGCAGTTTGGGTATTTAGTCTGTCATAATACTTTGACCAGGCTGCAGCCTGCCTAGAAATGCTGTCAGCCCAAGGCAAAAAGCCAGTCCAGAAAGGATGAGTGGTAGCTTTCTCTTCTAAGAGAGCTCAACACCATTATAAACTTGGCCTGCAGTCAATGAACAGAAACTATACAAGTCAAGAGCAGCTATGGTTGTTGTAAGAGAAATGCCTCTCAACGTGATTTTCAGAAATAATCAAAGAATGTTTTAAACATTTACCTGATTATTTTTAACTTTTGCATCCCCTACATAAAGGCATTAATTTTAATAATTTTTTATTTCATCTTTATAAGCCTCCAGCTGAATTTTCATAAAAGATTACTAAATCCTCTGTGAAGCAGGAAATGAAATTTATGCATCTAACTTTAGGTGACCTACTACAGTGCCAAAGCTGGGAACCCAGTCTTCTCATGTGGACAGAGAGAAGCACCTCTCCAGGATACACTGCACATCAAGGATTTATGGATCTCCATACACTTTGCAGTGAATTTAGGAGTGTGAGTCATCTAACCAAATGAAAGGGGTTTCAGTGCAGATAGTGACATCTGCTCGAAGAGCCCTGCCCTCTCCTTTCCATGCAGTGCATGCACATCAATGGCAGGTTTCATCCAGTCTCATGAATTGTACTTCAGAAGTGCATTATTCTCATTAGTAAACATAAAGTACATGGCAAACTAGTTCATAGGTAGATGTTTACAATATCCAAAGTGAGGTGTAATGGAACCAACTATTAACCTGATGATTAGGTAATTCTGCCAGATCCCTAAAGTTAGGTGCAGTAAATCTTGACATACAGATTTAACTTGTGCATCATATACCTGAATTAGTTCATAAAAAGTCTATGGGAATTGTGGCAAGACAGAATTATTATCCAAACCAAACTGATCAATAAATATATTTACAGTTTTTGCTAAACTTCTGGATGAAAGAGATTTTTGTGTTTTCCCTCACATGAAAGTGATGTAAGCGAATTGAGGAGCTATCTGAAATGAGCAGGCACCATTTGCTGGTTTTTGTTTGTACGGTATGTAATGCATTTGTAGTTCAAAACACAGTCATAGCTTCAACAGCACAAAAATACAAACATAACAATAATGCAGTAGGAACCTGACAGTCCCAAGAAGGAATAAAGATACAGAGAAATAAATATCTAGAAAGCATCTTGTTTGCAATGTGAAGCTTTGCTTCCAATAGTAAGACAGTAAGAAACTGTGTATTCAGGATAGCAATCAGCTTTAGCTATCTTGCAAATTGCTTAAGCAAATGCAGTCTTCATGGGATTGAGTTTCACTTTGGGTGTTAACTTTGTTGATGCAAAATGCAAAAATATGACAGATGACTTTATGATCTAGTTTCCAGCTTCAACTGTGAAAAAATGCTACTAAATTCCCACTCTGCCCTTTCCAGCTGTGCAGGTGCGTGCACAAGGAGAAAGAAGTTCAGCTGAGAAACAGACAGGATGTGGCAAAGAAAATGAGAAATTATGCTTAACAAGTTCACAGGAATTAGCTAGTGACAAAACACATTTTGATGGTAAATTTATTTTTCGTTCTTTCCCTGGCTTTCAGGGAAATGCTTAATATTGCTATGATTATTCATAGCTTGTAACACTTCCAACAGTAGCTTAGTACAGAGAGGGAAATTATGGTCTTAGTAATATCAGCTTCTTCTGTGGAACTAGTACCTCACCATCATGTAGGATGCACTTAAAAAGCAACAGCAACCATGAAGGAAAAGGGCAATTATTTTGTTTAAAACCAATACTATTAAGTGTAAGAAATCTGTTTTCAGAGAGGGATCAATCTTTTATGACCTTGGATAAATCGCATAATCTCCTTTCCTTGTGTCCAAATTCTATATCTTAACAGTAATAGTCATCACTGTCATGGAAATGAATTCATCAATATGTCCTGTGATTTCTTGCTTCACTACAGAAGATAAATAGGCAGTTTCTTCTTGTCATCAGAATGTTATTGCTGCATAACTGAGAATTTTCTTACCTTGCTGCTATGCCGCTTTTTGCTCACTGAAGGAGAACCAGGCTGACCAGGGCTGGGAACAGCGCTGGAGGTGGCAGAAGTGGTTCCAGAATGAATATGAGATCCCTTTTCCGCTCCTGAGGAAGCAACCAGAGGCGACTGCTGTAGAGAAACCTTCTGGAGCTCCGCAGCCAGCTGCTTGGGATCCACCCCTGGCGACTTCGCTTTATCTACTGGATTAAAGCAAGAGAGCTTTGTATTGATAATTGCTAGCACATTCATATCCATCTTGCATTGGTACAGGGACAGGACAATGATCTTCACAAATTTTCTTATCATCTGCTTGTATACTGTGAAGATGCAAAAGACAACCTATAAAAAGTAGATGTCTCACCCACAACATCAACATCCCAATTCCAATCTTTCTACTCAACACTCTGTCAACTAGTGTTACTCATCTCACAAGATTTCTGAGGTTATTCTCCGGCTGAAGAAAAACAGGCCTTGCTGATCATGCTGAATCATACTGGAGCAAATTATGGTTTTAAAGACTGGCCTGTGTTAACTTTCACTGTTTGGAACTGGTCCAGTTTCACCGAGTATCTGAACTTTGTTGTAACAAGCTGCGATCTCAACTTTTTTTTTTTTTTTAATCAACTGGACATTCAATAAAACTGAGTTCTGCTCCTGAGATAATTTATACAAAAATAAAGAGAAAATGAGCTCAAAACTTCAGCACCACAAATTAATCAAAGCAGAATAAAATTAAAACAAATGAAGAGCAAAAGCCCTGGTTCATCTTTTCTTATTACGCACAGCTACGTAAGGCATCTGTGGTAGGAGTCTAATTGCCCTCCCTGCTGCCTGGCAATGAGTGGGGAGAATCTACCCTTTGTAGATGGCAATCTCCATTTAATAGAGAAATGAGATCAAGTAAGTTTCATATGTGCCTTGAAGTGTATAGAGTTAAAAGGCTACTAGGCTCAGCTTGCTTCCCAGGTTCTCAGAAGTACGAGAGGTTTAAGGCAATACATTAGCCTTATCCTGCCTAGTAGGCTGTGTTTGGTTTATCTTTCTAGAGGGAATGGAGATTGCTCCTTTCCAAAGTACCAACAGTTTGCGAAACCTTGGAGGTCATGGCAAGAAAGACTTGGCTTGGCAATGAGAAGGGACTCTACAGAGTTGTTCCAGCTCAGAAGTGACTAGAAGATTGCTAGACTAGGAGGAAGCATGCCTGCAAGAATGGGGGAATTTACTTTTTTTTCTGTTCTTTCTCATTTTGAGTTTTCTCCATTAATAAAAAATATTATGCATTCTAGCTTCTATCCTTTCAAAACCCAATTTCAGTGTCTATGAATGCCTTTGGTGTTTTTGATCTGCTAAGAAAAAAATTTTGGGTAGCTCTGCCTCAAAGCTCTATCAGATTCAGTATTCGCTTTCAGTTAATATCAATAACATGCATTTTCAACAAAAGGTAGCTTGATAGTAAGCATATTAATAGCTGAGAAGAGATAGATGGTCAAAAAATGGAGGATTTAATCCAGGTAATTTGTGCACTGACTGATAAAAGAGCAGCCACAAACCCACAGAACTCAGAATGGACCCCTGAGAAGCTGAGTAAAACACTCTCTTAATATGCACTGAGCTTGCTGAAGGGCTGCATTACTAGTAAGATGGTGGATGTTGGTTCAAAGTTAGATTAGATACTACTAATAACCATGATTAGAGTCTGCAGTCATGGTGCTGATTGACTAGAAGGGAATCCCCTTCAAAAGCACTGCCATTTTAGAAGTCACATAACAAAACTTCACACAAAATGCTTCCTATTGCAGCTCTGAATCCTAGTAAACACTGTATTTTCATCACTAATAACAGGCCACAAACCTTGTATTAAGCTAACATATGCCTTAGGACTTGTGTTTTATTTGGACTTGCTCCAGTTTGCTTTAGCTTGTCTGGCTGCAACAGCAATTGTCTAATGACCAGACGGCTATGACCTTAATTTGTCTGAGCTACACTTCACCTTGTATAATTGTGCAGTATAATGTCCATTCTTAAAAATTTTGATATATAAAGGCCCAACAGTAATAGCACTGTGTAGACTGAAGTATTTCTGACTCCAGATTAATGATGCAGTTTATAGGAGCACAGGCCTGGGGTGACAGCAGAGTGTTGCGAGGTTTGGGCAGAGGAAGATAGCTGAGGCCCCAGGGCTACCAGCAACTTGCTGGTCAGTTACTGACACTAATGCACACTCAGGAGCTGGGAAAAATCAATTTTAGGGTCAACAGAAGGGACAAAGAACAAGAATATATCACATGCAAAGTGTATGATATCCAGTCAAGTCGTAAGGAAGGGAGAGCTCTTGACCAGTGAGGAAAGAGAAAGGCATGCTAGAAAACATAAAAAAGGCCCCAAGCAGATGCTGAAATCAAAGAGGAAGGAATCATCAACACCATCAACTTCACAGCAAGGAGGAGTCAAAAACTGTCACCACAAACATCACACTCCTCCCAGCAAATTCTTCAGGACACTGTCAACTTGCTGCAATGCCCCCAGAGTGAAAGAACTGCCCACAGGGCCTGGAGAAGCTGCCGAAGGGACACCATTTTGCCAGACTTTTCTGTGGCATTTATAGATGAAGGGCTAGCTAGGAGGAGGTTTTCCCTTGATAACATATGTCAGCTGCAGCATTGTTACTGAGATTTCCTTTGCATTAATTAGATATGTAGACCCTCAGTATGGATTGAATTGGGCTAATAATAATAACCAACAATAAATGTTTGGCTTTGTATACAAGGTGTGGTCCCCTTTCTGCCCATGGCAAGATTTGAGATTTAACACCTGATCTTACAATGCTAATACCCTAGCTTACATCAAATCCAATTCTCAGCCACTACCCGGTCCTCCGATACCAAAGCAACAACTTATCACTTACCTGCCTTTACTGGCTCATGCAGCTCCAGGTGCTGGGGATTCTCAGAGTCCGAGAGCATGTTCAGGTCCCTAAAGAAAGCGATGAGAAGCCTGAGACAAAAGAAACTCTTTCCTCATACCCTCATTATTGTATTAAGTAGATAAATGAATAGTGGTTCATGACAGAAAGCAGCTCCCAAGCATGGCCCATTCTTAGCTGATACATATTTGCAATGCTGTTAAAGAGCTGAGAAGAAAAGGTTCTTTTAAGGTGAAATCTTTAATGGATTCAATGCAAGTTTATACATTTCTCATGATGCTTAAATGACTTTCATCTAAAGGATACAGATTTCAGTAAAAGTCAAGTTAGTGCTAAATTACCATATTTTTCTAACCTCAGTAAATTCAGTCAATTGTATGTGTATCAATGAGAGGAGACTGTGGCCAGACAATGGAGATATCATTGTTTATAATAGCATAATTATTACCATCTGCCTCAGCTTATCTTTCCTTATGACTTTAAAAGAAAAAAGAACAGACCTCCCACACTCACAGTGAACTCTTGCTAATTATTACCTTGATGCTTTGTGCTAACAAAGGTTCCACCTTAACAACTGTAAATTAAAAAAAAAAAAAAGCCATGAAAAGCCAAAAAAAATGGAAACAGAAAGATGGGGAAAAACTCACAGTCTTACACATATTTCTGCTTCCCCACTCTGTTGAATAATAATGCTCTGGACTTCTTCGTAAGTTTTCCCAGTCAAGGGGATGCCATTCCATTCCAGCACCTGCATTCCTAAGAAGCAAAACAGCATGAGGTCAAGTGCTCAGATTTTGACAAAGGCATCAGATAGACTGCTCTGACAAGAAGATTTGATGTGAATGTTGTTTAAACAGCACAACACACTAGCAAATCCTTTTCACTTCACACAGATTAGACTGTTGAATGTTACTGTCCCATCAGCTAGAACCTACCTGTTGAAACAAGTCAGGGGATTAATTCCTATCTGATTCAAAATACGCATGCAGTCTCCATAGTCTGGGTTGCATGATATTGAAAAAATTTTGCAATATCAAAAACATGCACACCTACCAACATGTCAAGAAACCAAAACATTTTATATATCAGACATTTCCTGGCCAGCCATGGTCTTGGAAGATAACTGTTCCCTACAGTGGCACATTGCTGTAAAGAAGCTGAGCCTCAAAATGAGACTAAATTTGTGAATGTGATTTGGTAATTCAAATACATTTTCTCTACTTTGACACTTAAGAAAATACAACAAGACGAAGGCAGTTGGGCAAACTGATTTTAAATGAAAAATGTACCTCCACATTTCAAACATCAGCCTGGAAATATTCAGGTTTAAATTTTTCTTCCGTATCTTTTCTTATGAAAAATTGACAAAACAGCTGAACATAATTCATTGTGGAAGGTAGGAACAGAGCTATGATAAACAGGCTGAAAAATACTGTATACTGATCCAATCTATTGTTTCTTCCACGTGTCCCAGGACTGAGCCAGGAGACTCTGTTTGGAGTAAGGTATCACTATAACAAAGCTTTATGCTCAGTATTTGTGGAGTCAATCCCTCTATAAATCATGTGAGGCATATTCTGATAAGATGAGAGATCTTTTGGTTACAGTAAAATGATCACAAAAAGCAAACTGTAGATTCATATCTGGGAGCTACAACTCTGGTTCTGAGACCTGCATTAATATTTTGAAGTAGTTAGTCATAAGGATGACTTCAAAGAGACTAACTTCTCACTAATGCACAAATGCTCTAGAGGAAGAAATTGCTTAATGGGACAAGATACTGAATTCTTAATAGTCCACTAAAAGCAGTGTATTACAAAACATTTGAAAACCACATCATCCACACAGCAAGGAAAACCACAAACACTTAGCTTGCTACCACTTACACAGATAAAACCAAGTCTTCACGTGTGTCATATTTTTATTTCAAAATCCTGTGCTGTTGCATATAACAAATGGGAAGAATAATGAAGTGAAATGTGGAGATAAACTCATAGGAGAACAAGCTGCTAAATAAAATATAATGAGAATTGTTCATGGAATAAAGCAGATGAAATTATTTGACAATTAAAGAATTTGAGAAATAAAGACTATAATTTTATATTAAAATTTTTCCACAGGATTCCATGAATTAGGATTTGAAATATCAGGTTTGCTGATAACTTTTCTCAGGAATAATTTATCATTCGGTTTGCAGCAGTTTACAGAAATACAAACTGTGCAGAATGACTAAAAAGTGATGCTCAGAAGGCAGTAAAACCAGCTGCTTACTGCCAAAATAGATTTGCCTTTTCCTAAAATTTAGCCCCTTTCATTTACCAGCCATCATTCAAAAGCACGATCTTGCTTTTGCTTGTTAGAGCAGCTCTGGTTTTAAGCTCAGTTCCTTTGGAATAAAGCAAAAATAATTATGAATAAATGCAGCTCCCCCTGATTTTCTGCCATACAAATATAACAGCATGCACTCTGTGTTTAGAATACTTCTAGAAAGGAAGGAACTGAAGTTATTTTTGTTTTCTTGTCAATGTGTGCCTTCATAATGCTATTGTGGCACAGGATGTTGAGTACGACAGTACAACCTCTTGAGTAAGACAAGCCAAGCCACCATTTGTATGTACTGGCAATGAACAAGAATTAAACTGGAAAATTTTAGATATCTGAGAAAGTGGTTAACATCCTTTTTCAAAAAAATAAGCTCTGTTGACAAAATGCATCCAGCTACAGTCCTAGGTTTATCACATCCTGCTTGCATGGCTTCAGAAGAATATTTACCAGGGGACCCATAAGGCTATCATCAACAACTTGCTTTAATTTAAAAAAACAGCAGGAAGAGCCTAGCTGACTACTGCTGCAGTGCTGGGATTTGGAAATCAAATCTCATTTCCACTGGTGTGAGTTTCACTAGTGAGTGCGATGGCACTGCAGTCACTCGCTTGGTCAGTAAGGCCAAGCACACATGAACAAAGCAGCAAAAAGGAAAAAGGAAATTGAATCTCAACAGCCTTGGCTCACACAGAGATCCATTTGAGCTGTCAGCATAAGGGTATTTTCTTTTTATTGGCTGCCTTGTGGACTCCTGAGTGTTTAAAATCAAAGCAATTTAAATATGACATAATTGACCTGACTGATAGCCCTGGAGTCTAAGGAAAATGTTTTTAGGGAAGAAGCTGATTTCTCTTTTCTTAAGGAGTAAGTGCTAAATACCTTTTGCTGGAAAAAAAAAAAATGTTACAAAGAAATCCTTTAAGAGCATTTGAGCCTAATCAACAAAAAGAGAAAAAAAGTACTGAGAAGTCACAGGAGACTGGTGATAAAAAAGATTTTTTGCCTAAAAACCAATCATATTCTGTAACTGGTGTTTGGTGGTCAGGACGTGTTATTCACATTTCCAAAACTTAGTGTGCTTCAAATCACCAGTTTACTACACAAAAAACAAACAGGAAGATGAGAAAACTTACACTGCTCCAAGACAACTCTGCTCACTGAGGAAGAACTAGTAATTGCCCTGATAATCGAATCCATAATTTCTTCTAGGATTTTTTTTTTTTCATTTTATTGGACTGGCTACATCCTGCATTGATGGTGAGCAACAAACTATTTTTAGCAATATCAGCTCCTACAGTCAGCAGATCAGCTTTATACATCAAGACCTCCTCCCTGCTCCACTAAGTGTGCTGACACACATCATTTGCTCAGTCTTTTTGTTACCTACTTCATGGTGACATTTAGAACCTGGAATCAGAAGTTTATAATTTTCCACTGATTACAAAATGCTTATTGCAGAGAGGGAACTTCATACATGCATAACTGCCACGGTGATATCCACATTTAGCTAGATTAATACCATCCTTTCCCTTAAAAAAATGCGCTACAGTCCTACTGTAGTGAAAGAGAGAAAGCAGCCTGTTGTGTTCATATATTCTTCCATACGCATCTGTTACCGGCTACAGCTGGAGACGTTATCAAAATCTAAGCGTACCTTTCCTCTGACACAGTATAGCCATTGTGTTCTTTGTAAGTACCAAATAAATATCTCAAAGTCTCTTGTATTTGCTATAGTTGCTGCTCTCAGTGCTTAAACTAAGAGCTTGCTCCTGGTCGGAGGGTCAGGGCTTATGCTGCAGAAGTGAGGAAGGGCCCATGTTTCATCAAAACCCTCATGGGAAGGAGAGGGTGGAATTTTGTTGTATTGCATTATATTGCCATACTGAACACATGCAGCTTAATGCTGTTCAAAATTGCCAGGCTCTTTTTAGCGAATAGTAAAGTGTTAACATTTATTATTTTTGTTTAGGCATGAGTATGCCAATTATCTGTTAACTGATAACAATAAAACCTGAAAACTCTGCAGAACTGATTTCCTTTTTCTGACATTTTGACTAGTCATTTGACAGCTTGTGAAAAGGAAGCTAAGTACTGGTGAAACTTGAAATCTGCTTTTAACAGTGGGGAGTCAGGGAGTATTAAGAAGTAGCTTCTATCAACCCAGGGATAAAAGTACTTGAAATAATTACCTGGGGTCCCCAGGGAGCATTCAGCATGCTTTGTTGATCCTGGAAGATCTGTGAAATTTTGGGGAAGAGAATTTTTGGGTAGAAAGTTTTAATAATGTGGAAAAAAGATGAGTTTGGATTCAAATCTAGGGCCAGACTTGAGCTTACAACACCATATAAAATTTCTCAGGAGCCTGAGTAAACCTGTGTCCAAATATGAGGAGCGGGTCTACTGAAACTTGCTTGGACTGACCACATGGTTTGAAGTGGTAATCTTCTTGCCGATAATTCTTCCTCATGCTAAACAACTAAGTCCTCTAATTGCTGACTGTTTAGATTTACAAACATCATATGAGATCAGCTGTTAGAAAAAAGTGCTTACATAATAGCAAGGACTATGTTGGTATTGCTCCCTGGTCAGTCTTGTGAAATGTTTTATAGCTGCTCAATCAAGGAGTGCAAAATGCAGCTCACTACTAATGTTCAGCTGTCTGTATAAAATAAGGCACTTTTTAATCTTAAATGTTTCCACATGTGTACAAGTATTGCAAAATTGCAGATTGTCCAGAGAGGTTGTGGAGTCTCTGTCCTTGCAGTTGTTCAAAACCCAACAGGACACAGCCCTGGGCAGCCTGTTCTCACTAACTGCTTTGAACAGGGAGCTTGAACTAGGTGATCTCCAGAGGTGCTTTGCAGCCTCAACTATTCTGTAATTCTTTCTAAAACAGCTAAATTTTGCTTTATAGACTATACTAATGTTTTATCCATATATGCTGTAGGTCTATGTATAAAAGAAAGCAGAAATAGCTGATTCTAGGAATATTGGATCTGCACTGTGATGTCAATAAATAGTTCAGAGTGCAGTTCCATGAATTAACTGATTTGGTCTAACTGAGCAATAATGAATAATTGGTCCTGATCTCTTTGAACTCCTGTACTCAAACTATTTATCTGTTTTTTCATGAAGAGGAGAAATATTTAGCAACAATGAAAAAGTCTGCAGTATCAAATGATCAGAAATTAGTTCCATGGATATTGTTGAAATCATTGTGTGTCTAAATCTCATAGCTTCTTGGTTTACATTCAATTTTAAACGTTAGGTAACCTGTATCATGGATCACAGTATTTAGGAGAAACTTAAAGAAAAACAATTGTTCTTTGTTCTCTTACTTTTTGGCACAGGTACTTTGATGTAGTTCCTTTGGGTAGACTCTGTCCTCATTAAGCAATGTTTAATTACAATAATCAACTGTCATCCT